GCCAGCTTGGCCATGGTACCTGGCACTGCAAACGGTAAGTGAGCGCTTGGCCGCCCCAATGAAGACTTTGTTCAGGGCCTGCCTGTCTCAGGTCATGCTGATCCCTGCTCCAGGCCCTTCTATGGCCTTTACTTTGGACTCCCCTTTCCTTCTTGCCATCTGGCCTAAGCTTAGACATCCTTTGGGTTTTAATTAAATAGTGTGTATTCTGGAAGGCCTCCTGGTGGTCCCCAGTGGAGTTAAGTGGTCTTCCTGTCTTTCCAAACTCCGTCTCTCACCTAGTACCCAGCACACACAACCTAATGCTCCAGAACTCATCTTCCCAGGAACTGTCAAGAACCATGAATTCAAGGGTTGTATCTGTCTTACACCTCAGCTGATCGCCAGTGTTGGGTTTGAGCAGGTCATTGAGTGCTTGCAGCTGGATGGGTAGGTATGTGATGAATGGGTGGGTGGAACCGTGAGTGTTGGTGGGAATCTGTTTTAAACAGGCCATGATACAACAGAGAGCATGCTGGGACAACCTTAATAGTAGGAAGGTATAGTGTAGCAGGCAAACTCCCTTTGCTGCAGATTCCATTAGAAAAACTCCACAAGGAGAGTATGTTAACAAATTTTGGGAACAATATAATGGGAAAGAATTCTTGTTATTGGTTAGTAAAAGTGTCCTGAGTTCACAGGAAGAGGAAGTTGAGGATGAAAGAGATGAAGAAGTTTGGGAAAGCTCTTCTGTACCCTATGGCCAGGGCTCAAGTGGAACTGTGCCTGGCACAGTCTCCTATGCGGATCACAGAGACCAAATAAATTCTCTAAAGTACCTGAGAAATACAAATCACAGATGGGGAGTTGGGGGAGCAGACACTGCTTTACCACATCCTTGGGGTTTCATGTTTTTAGCTAAAAACCCCAGTGAAAGATGATTAATTCCTGACATAGAAGGCTTCCTTCCAATCTGCTTGGTAGGTATTTTTTTCTGTCTATGGCGTCCTAAGGTAGTGAGCTTGAATCAAAAATAAATTATTAGTAAACATTTGCAAGTGAGAAACAAATTATTTTAGAGCACTCAGCTCCTTCCTTCAAACACACACTTGAAAATTATAAAGACTCTATTCTCTAAGAATGCTTGAACTTCTCCCTAAATCATAACACGGGTAAACTTACTGAAATATTTTTACAATTTTATTAGAGGTTTTAACTCACCGCTTTATCTATCTCTGTTAGACTTTAAAATAGCTTTAAATATTCAAGTGGTAATTAATGAATCTTTTATGTTGCAAATCAAACATTTTCAACTATGTGCCATAGAGGAGCAAAGAGGAAGGTTCTGGGGAAGGCCCATCTGTCCCTTGTCTGTGCTGTTGACCACCATTTATCCAATGTACTGGGGAAATCATGTTTGCTTTCTCTGCCTGTGGGTTAATGCTCAGCGTGGACACTGTCTGCTATCTTTCTGTAGGTCAAGATTTCTTGACATGTTTCTTGCCAGAGACATTCCCAGCTAGATGGAAAGTCTTTGAATGTGGAATTTTTGCTTGAGTGAAAAATAATAAAAAGCATGTGTATGTTTTTTGAAAAGGATCAGTTTAATGGCAAATGAGCATTGGCTTAGATTAATATTGTATTACAGTAAAAACTTATATTTAATAAATTTTCTCCATCGCCTCCTTTCCCCCTGAATCTCACATATTTTTCTACGTGGCATGCCAACAGAAAGAAAGTATATATGATACATTTGATTTATGTTAAGTCAATAGTGTGTGCAAGCCATTTCAAATTGCATTTTTAGGGTAGAAATATAACCCCCGCAAAACCACATACAGTGCCATACACTGAGAAGGGTAAGATGTGTTAGCTTGTTGAGGGCTGAACCCTTCTAAATATTATTCTATTTAGAAGACATTTTTGAAATGTGGTGTTCTGTGTCAACTTGCAATAAGGCAAGTCCCAAATCCCACATTTTCATTTGGAATAAGAAAGTGGGTGGGCATTAAAACTTCATGGAACAAAATAGTTTTATTTTTCCTCTGCCTGTCACTAATGAGACATAAGTGGATGAGACACTCCCAAAAAGGCTCACAAAAGGAGGGACGAGTTCTAGGCCAGAACCCATGCTGGCAACCTCATGTTGTTCATGGGGCCCTAATTAATACTGGACTCAGTGACATTTATGGATCAGAGCAATAAGCTAAACAGGAAACAATTTATGTCACATAAAGCCTTTTAACAAATCGATACAACTATTTGTAATTGCTTGTTTCACGAGACTAAAAGTGCTAAGGCCTGATGTTTGCCCGTGAATTTGTGGTCCATCTGACCTGTGCTTCCGCTTAAGAAGGAGAGACAGAGAGAGAAAAAGGATAGTTGATCAGCACAGACTTCCATCAAGTAATCCATATTGCTAATATTTCTGGGATTTTAATGTAGTTACAATTTATAGCTGATCAAATGTGGTTACCTAAATTGCTGTTGGTAGTAGACAGTTTAACTGTCTATATTAATTACAGTATAATTTAATGTCCGAGCACCACCACTCCTGTTGGTCAGTTTTACAGCTCAAGCAGTCATCTGCCTTATGACGAACCATTTTAGCATTTTCGAAGGAAACGTGCTAAAATGATGGGTGATAAAAATGTCACAGGCTGGTAAATAATGATCATAGCTTTAGCTGAGATTAATACTTGAAAGGCCGGTTACCTTCAATTAACATTATAACTCAAAGTGTGTCCTTTTCCCAGACCAATATCTTGCTTTGAGGCTGGGGAGCAGAGGTGACTATTGATAACTTCAGATGGGTAAATTAACATATATGTACTTGATATTAGGCATCTAGTATGCTTTTACAATCAATGTAGAAATGGCATAGGGCTATTATATATATATATATATATATACACACATATATATACATATGTATATATATACACATACATATATACATATGTATGTATATATATGCATATATACAATGTAGAGTGGTTTTCTAATACACATTATCTCAGTTATGCCAACAGTTTTGCATTTAACTTCCCTGTGATGTGAACTACTCTGTCTTAAACTTCAGTTTATCAGTCTAGCACCTTGAATGAAGTTTTGAAACCCAACTTTGAGTATGGAATACTTATATTTGGCTCAACTAAACTGAAAAGCTAAATTGTAATTACTCATGCTACATAAATATGTGGCATTACCAAAGAAGACAACCTCATCAGAAAGGCTCACTGCATTGTTTATCCGTTTCGCTGAGAGGTTTATGTATATTGCCAGTGCTGCTGCTACTGTTGTTTTATATAGAGCTTATGATATATATATATATATATATATATATATCCTTGTTTAATAGAAGAAGCTGTGTTTTGGGTTAGCTGCTTTGTGTGAGGAGCAAGCCTGGAATGAAATTTTAAAGAGTATCCTTGCTATAGAAGGATTCCTGAAATGCAATTTCAAATATGGTATGTGTCAGCCTGCTGAGCCTTCACTACACAGGTCCTGGGGTGTTTTGGTAGGAATGTGTGTGCACAGCTAGCTCTCAGTAGGTCCTGTGAGCAGCATCTGCATTTAAGCCTAGCAATTAAGAGGATTTCAGTTAACCCTGATATTATATTCTTAGTAGCCAGGTGAGAATTAAAGGCTCCAATGTTTTGCTAATTATCAGGCTCCAGGAGCTCTCAGACTGGCAGAGCCATCAGTGAGCCAACGTAGTGAGGCAACGCTTCTCACCTCAGCAACATCTATTTGTTTCAAAGGACATAAAAAGGAACCCGGCATGGCAGTACTTATCTATAATCCTAACAGTTGGGAGGCTGAGGCAGGAAGACTGCTGCAATTTTAGTAAGGCAGGCAGCCTGATTTTCCTACGGGGAATTCTAAACCAGCCAGGGCTACATGATGAGCCCGTTTCGAAATGAAAAACAATCAATAATAAAACCATACTGTTGTAGAAAATGCAAAACGTAGATTCATAGCCAGTGCAGGAGAGAGCCTTCTAATGTTTCCCCAAAATGGGCAGGTACGCTGTGCTGGGAAAGGTGCTCCTGAGGCCACCTGTCATCTGAAAGCTTTATGGATGTGCTTGGAACTACAGACACAATGGCTAAGACGTGGTGGTTTGGCCACTTAAAAAGGTTTATTTGGTTGTTTTGAGACATAGGCTCTGTCCCTTGGCTGAACTCAGTTATGTAGACCAGGCTGGCCTTGAACTCACAGAGATCAGCCTGCCTCTGCCTCCCAAGGGCTGGGCTTAAAGGTATGTACCACCACATGAAGCTTTACAATGTTTCTTTCAATATACTACAAGTAAGATTTGTGTTGAAAAACATGGTTAAATTAATTTGTCTTTAGAATACATAGGATGTAATTAAGCCAAAGAGAGAAAGCACATTTTTCTAAAGGTATAGAACTAAAACAATCTCTACAGGTAGTTTCCTGGAACCTGAGGTTCTCCATTCAGCTCTGTCATCTTCTGCGTGGTTAACCTAGCACCTTCTGATAGAGCACCTTTATATAATCATTCGTTCTAATCTAAGCATTTATCATTATATGCAAAGAGCTTTCTTGATGAGAATGCTGTAGACGGTGCGTGGTTTTGACGTTAGCATTTTATTTGGATGACTGATCTTGCAGATGTGAAATGTCAATGAATTATTCATGAAATTGCTTTCCTCTGAAATTTTAGTTTGGCTCTTCATGTTAGTTATTAAACATTTTTCCCTCTTTATCAAATTTGGTGAAGAAGACAGTATGTTCCCTCTGAAGGAGCTAGCCCCTCGGCCTTTCCTTGAGACCCTTCTTTAAGCCTGCTCGGCGATGTTATTGAGGGCTGATTGTGAACCTGGCTTGGAGTGGCCCCTAAGAGGCAGCTTGGGACATGCACCTGACACAAAGCCTCAGCAGGTCAGAAGTGGGGGAAAAAACTTAGTCTGTGGCAACTTTGTCTACCAGTGTGAACAACCAGCATTTTTATTGCATTTGAGAATGCGTTCATGTCAGTAATTACTACTGACTACACAACATTTTTTTTTTATTGTCTGTATCCACAGACATGGAATGATGAAATTACAGTTGATGTCAAGGAATGAGATTCTTTTATGCCTTATCAAAACAAAACAAAACAAAACAATCCCTGTTAGTGGCAGCACAGATACAGAGAGCACCACACTCACAACCCAGACCGCACCATCTCCACCCAGGCTCCTGGGTAGCAGGGACCGCTTCGAGTTACACTGGACCCACAAGACGCTGTTAAACTGGTCCATTTGCTTCTCAGGATAATAAAGAAAAACTGAGTTGCAAAACACTTGCAGACTGTCAGGAGGGTATGGCATTGACCAACAGGTACCAACAAGATTCAATTAGCAGAGTTTGCTTTATGCCCTTGGAGACAGAGCTCAGGTAGAATGTGGAAAATAGAGGAGAAACTTTTCAACTCAATATTGTAACTGAAAAAAAAAAAAGGAGAAGAAGAAGAACTAGTGATTTATATTATGTTTTTGGCTCTATTATTTTGTTTCATTTATTTAAACCAAGGCTTTCTTTATTATGACTGATGAGATGCTAGGAATACGAAGGCAACCGTCTTCTGGTATGGGGAGGGGATTGGCAGCTAGGTCACCACCCATGTAAGTCTAGACAGTTCACCCTTTGATGGCCCTAAGTCTTCTCACGTGGATAGATCCTAAGAACATGGAAGGTGGGTCCTCATGACTGTGTGTGTCTGACACATAGGCCAACCTCCCTCACATTTGCTTATATTTACTAAGAAAAGAAAGAAAAAAGTAACAAATTATCTTTACACCTTGGGACCTTGTTAAAAAAAAATTTATACAAAAAATTCAATATTTTCAACACTTCCCATTATTAATCATTACTTTACTCATAAAACTTTTAAAGTGTGAGCCTGGAATTTCATCATGCAAAAATATTGACTGTGGCAAGAGAGAACATTTTTTTTTAAACAACTTTTTTTTTTTCTCGTTTCAAACTTAGGAATTTGTTTAAGATAGTCAAGGAGGCAGTGGTGTGACAAACACAAGGAACAGGAATGTATCAAAAACAGAGTAACACACACACACACACACACACTCACACACCTCTCTCTCACCCCATTCCACAAACCTGTACAAATAATGAAGATAAGAAACAAATTATGTCAACTATGTTACAATTTGAGAGAGAGAGAGAGAGAAGGAAGTGTGGAGTTTTTTTTCCTTCTTCCCATATATCAACGTGTCATCCAATGTTTGTAAATCAAGGGCAATGAAACAAAATACATGTGCAGCATTGACTGCAAATCCACTAAATACAGTAGAGTTTTCCCCAAAAGATACTATTTTCTTTTCCTTCTTTTTTTTAAAAATATCATTAATAAAATGCAGTTGCACAAAAAGCAAAGATGTTTTGACAAACAGGTGTAAGCATTTATTCCTTTTTAGGAACAATACCTAAAAAATAAAATAATTAAAACAAAACAAAACAAAAAAACCCCTCCCCCTCGGCCCTCCCCTCCGCAAAAGACAAAGATCCACACAGACACATCGGGATATATGTACAACCGAATCAACCCCATTGTAAAGAAGCGACCGTAATCCCCCCAAGGGACAGAATCAGAACTGTAAAAATCAGAGTGAAGATTGCTTGCTGTAAAGCCTGAGAACTTTTTTTTTCAGTTGGTTCTTCTGCGAGGCTATGACACCTGCAAAGATGCATAAAATCTAATTTTTCTTTATTTATTTTCTTTGCTACAGTCTTTAGACTAAGCATGCAAGACATACAACTAAGTGCGACTGAGTGAAAGGTATATTTTTAATTTTTTTTTTTTTTACTCATTCCCTAAAGATTTGAACTGAGGTATGCGTACTAACAGTTCTCATGCTGTTATCTTTACCCTTGTCTAGCTACACATGCGGAGAATGAACTAATCTACCAGATTTTTATCCTCTTTTGAATATCTAACCAGCAACCACTCAGTTTAGAAGCACAGGGCCCCCTTCCCATGACCCTGCCTGGCTACTGCCTGCACATCATGAAGCTGCCTGGAAAAGAGGGGGGGGGACTGAGGGGGTGTGAATAACCACAGACTGCCCCTCTATGGAAAGCAGAGCAAACCTTCAGAAGTAATTGCCAAAGACGGTCTATTCTAAGCTTATGAGTGGATGGGAATGTCACCCTTTTTTTGTGTGTAAATGAAAAACACTGACCAAATCATAATTTGAAAAAGGAAAAAAAAAAAAACCAAAACCAACAACAAAAAGCAGAAGGAAACCAGAGGATAAATGTCAGGATGAACCAAAATGAACGCAGTGATCAGAGCACAGCCCTTAAACAAAAGTGGCGTATGAACGGTCTACAGATCTCTTTATTCTAGAAGTGGCCTCGTGCGGCCAGACACTTCTCTGTTCTCTCTGAATTCATCCTAAGTGTCTCCTCGATTATACACTAATTTTCAGCATCATACATTCATTTCTTTTTCTTTGAGATGATAGCCCATTCTTTCCATAGGAGCTGTAATACTGTTGTCTTGGTTTCTTTTCTCTGCAGTAGCCCCGTATTTTCTCCTTACAGGAGTTAGTTTTGGTCTCTCTACAGATAGAGAAAAGAAGGAAAGGAAAAAAAAAACCAGAAAAAAAAAAGTAAAAAACTTTGGTTCCATTGCCTGCGTAGTCTGCTAAATGAGCTCTGCTGACGGGCAGTAATATCCTTCAGGTTGGCAAACAGCCTGGGCCTCATCATTTGCCTCTGAATCCTTTTGCCTCCTTTGATCAACAATAAGAGGATATTTGGCTTCATCAGATAAAGCATAAAAGAAAATAATTTACCTTTGCGTAATATCTTTGGTAATTTTAGAAATAAAAAGGTACAAAGTATATAAATTAAGCTCCGAACGGCTCTCAAACTAAACCCAAACAAAAGCTACAGCCCCAGATAAATAAATGCCAGGGAAGTGGGTGCAGACGGAAGTGTGGAGGGGTTTGAAGGGCTGAGGGCATACTGACCTAGGGCCATCACATTCTGTGGGCCCTGGTCCCAGGAGACTCCATCTACCTGGTGTCCTCTTCTGTGACGTCTGTGCTACTGGGATGCTCACACTGCAGACTGAGCTGCAGTACCGACTTAGCACACTGGAAACTGACACATTAGCGTCTGCTGAGCTCAGTCCTCATTAACTCCCATAACAAGTTCAATGTGAAGTCTCATTTGCATTAAAACAGATGAATGCCACCAAGCAGGTCTGAACTGATGTACAAACTCAACCCTGTCACCAGGCTGAGTGTACATTGCTTAGGGAAGCTGGCTTTTTGGTCATTTTGCAAACAAAGCAACCTATGCTGTTAAGAACAACATAGGGCCTGCGGTCCTGGCCACTTGGATTACGGGAGGGAAAACCTTCCATGGCCATCATGACAGTCTAACTATTAAGGTTTGTTTACTCTCTTCTGTTTCTTTCGTGGCTGTGTTTCCTGATGCTGAGAGAATGTGGTGGCAGTTACTCACAATGGTGGGTGCCATGAAAAAGAAAAAAAAGAAAAATCTCCAACAGTCCCCATCCCACACCCCCAATGCTGCTTTTGTGAAATGAATCTGCTGTGTCCCTAGAGTGTGTGTGCGCGCGCGTGCGTTTCTCTTTTCTTTTCTGTCATTCATTCTCTTTCTGGCAGGATGTCACGTCCCCGTGTGGGGGACCTTCAGGAGTAAGGTGCAGCCCTTGGGATCTTTTTTTTTTTCTTTTCTTTTTTTGTTTCTTTTTTTTTTTTTTTTGAAAAAGACCAAAACGGAATGTTTTGTTTTGTTTTGTTTTGTTTCAAACTTGAGAGAAACATGGTGATGTCTATAGGAAAATGGAATGAGTGCCCGAAAACTACAGACGAGAAATGACATTCAGCTTTGTATAATAAAAACGCCTATTAACATTCATCACAAGGTACAGAAAACGCGAAGCCTCCAAGAGGCCCTGGGCCCAAATGGAGGCCTGAGGTCAGAACTTAAAATGGTAAAGAAGCAGAAAAATAAAATAAAGGAAAAAAGAAAAAAAAAACAGGAAAAAAAAGTAATACATTAAAAAGTTTGGGATAATTATTTTTAACCCCTCCCCCCAATACACACACACAAAGGCCTTCCCCCATCCCAACTGGAAGCAAAAAACAAAAACAAAACAAACCAAAGTGAGTAAAGGCAGTGATATCAACATGCAGTGCTGTGCAAATAGGTCGTCCACTGGAGTCTTGAATTCGGGCGAAGGCTTGGTCTGCAGCGCAGGTTCGTGAGCTCAGTCGGGTGTCCTCAGTGTCCGGCGTTGGCCGGGCAAAACTGCAGTTCAAAGTCTGCTGCTAAAAGTGAATCCGTTTATCGAATTTACAACACTGATGTTGACTCAAAGAGGAAAATCCCAAGTACCAAACAGGTCCATCCAATGCACAGAGTACAAATCCCTTTTGTCAACAAAAAGTAGAAAAATCAAAAATACTCCCAAATGGGATTCTTGATGGCACTAAGAGTTAACACATTTCAGAGTTGTCAAAATGTAGCGAAAATCCTCCAGACTGTACAAGAAGCGGAGGGCGGCTTCACTGCTAACTTTTGACGTGGTTTCTTTTCTTTTTTTCTTTTTTAAATTTGTTTTGCTTTTTTTTCCCAATCTTCGGTCTCAGGGGTCGGCCCGCCCAGAGGTTCACTCCATGTCCTCGTTTACTGGTTCGTCTTCGTAATCTCTGTCATGGTCAAAATCTGGACTGTGGTTGGCTGTTGTCACTAAGGACAGAGGCCCTTCAGCTTCCTCAGGGTCAAGGGGTTCCTCTTTTACATGTATGGGGTGCCTACAGAGAGAAAAAGAGAGAAACAGGCTTAGGGGAACATCCAGACTGGTGTGTGCTGTTGGAGCAACCTACAAGACTTGCGCTATAGAAACCCTGCCCAGCAGAGACAGAGTAACCTTGGCCATAACCACAACCAAAAACCAAGTTTTTCAAATCTGATGGAAACTTTCCAATGACTGTTGTACATTTGCACTGCCTGCAGCCCGAGGGATTAAGGGCCTTATGAGACCAGGGGCTTCTGTACTGCTCAGTGTAATAGCAGCACAGCACTTGTGATCAGAGAGTCTTGGATGCTGGTGTTTTAGAATGTCCTCTGTACAGAAATCATTTCTCTTGCTTTTTGGGACACCCAAGTTACCCGAGGACCTTGAGACAGTACCAGACTATGTATTTCTAAGAGATTCCAGGTGACAGTGCTGGTCCCAGGACCATCCTTTTGAGTACCAGATAACAGGCCCTATAGTGACATCCTGGGTGGATGAATGCCACCCTGCAAATAATTATGTGAAATGAGAATCTGTAATACAACAGTGGTTCGTGGGGCACTGAGCACAGGAGGCTGGGCTAATCATGGCTTGCTGTGTGTTCTGCTTTGCTAGTTAACATGCAGAACCTGTGAAAGAACCCTCCAGAGGACGACCCCAAGCGAGGTTCTATCATTAATCAACTTCAAGCAAACACAGCAAAGAGACACCATGATACATGCTTGAAGCTCCAAATTAATGCATATTTTTACAAACTGTCAATAAGGCAAGAAAAGCCCTGCCAGGAAACACAAACGGAGAGGAAAAGGCTTGCTCAACACAGCAATACGATAAGAGAGCAGAGCCCCAATCAGAATAATAACGCTGTCAGCTGTAAACAAGGCAAAACATGAGGCCCGGCTGGTAGCCGCCACTGGGACACTCTCGCTACCTTGAGAGCTGCCAACTTTCTCATTATGGATTGGGGGCTCGGTTCATCTAGAGAGGGCTGGCTGGATCACACAAAACCACTCTGATAACAACTGCGAAAAGCTGTTCGTAAATCATATTTACAACTGATCTTTTGCCAATACAAATGACTTTCTGTTGCAGGGGGCTTTTGATATGTAAAAGAACCATTCAAGTTAAAATGCACACATCTCCCAGGCAGGCTGGGAGTGGGAGGGTCTTATAATGGACATTATCAAGTATTAGTAAGAAGAGGTGGTACTGGGCATGCCTGGCTTCCTAAATAATTGATGCTGTATGCAGGCCCCAAAGGCGCCTGGAACCATTTAAAAACAAACAGAGGCACACTTTGGGCTCCTCTGGAAGACAGAAACCTTCAAAATCAATTGACACTAAAATTAGCACAGCATAGAGAGAGTCTTGGGGGGGCTAGATGTCAGATAAATAGCTTTAAACAATTATGCCCACGTTCTTAAAAACCATTTGCAAAACAAACCCAAGCCTCACAGTACATTTTATAGGTGGATTCCAGCTACTTAAAAGTTTTTAATAGTGTGGTCATCTTTGTTTCTGAAATAAGGCCCAGGCCTGGCTATATGGCTTGTAGAGCCCCTGAATGAAAAAATATTCACAACTTTAAGAGAAAAAAGAAATATGTCAATGAGGGCACTGTCCTTCCAGGTGTAGGACACAAATGTAACTGAACATGTTACATGCCTGTGTAGTCAGCCTGGGTTATAGTGAGTGCTTGCTTCTCCATTCCTTTTGAGGAACATATTACTGCATACACATAATGTGAATTTTTTTTTTTAACTTTTCCACTACAGGTTTTCTGGTTCTATGTTATTCTGTCTGTTGATAACTCAGTACCTCTTTACAGCTGGTGTTCTCTAATCGCCTTCCTTCCCCTCTGCTGTTTGCATAGTACAGTAAACCACTGCTAGCCATTAATCTTCCTCCTTCTGTTGATTTACCTCCTTGGGATAAATGTCTAAGAATGGAAGTGTTGGAGCAGAGGCCAAAACATCTTTATGGTTCTCCTGATTTATTGGGATATTAATTTGCAGAGGGGCTCTATCAAGTGAGACTCGATCCCAGTGACCCACTCGTTAATTTAGAAAAACAGTCTGTGGCCTCGGGAGCAGGTGTGAGGTAGAACCCGAGTTACCTTGACCTGCAACCCTTGCTTTACTGACCACAGTGGATTTTTATATCTGCCTCCTAATTTCACTATCGAGAACTATGACTTTGTCAGTCACCACTGACTATGTGGGTAGAGTAATGTGTAGCAACAGGAATTTGCCCTTTAAAAAAAACTTAGTTTTAATCAGTTACTGAGGCTCAACTGCTATTTTTCCAGACTAACATTTTCATGCTTTAATTTTTAAAAGGCTATCATACTTAGTACTTAATAATCTCTGGTTCGAAGGGTGCCAGCTGATGACATTATACAAAGCCTTGGAGGTAAGGGTCGGAAACCCCAGAGAAAGCAAAATCGTCTTAATGTTAAGTTCTTGCTTTACTACTGTCAATCCTGTTTTCTAGATCCAGTCCCACACGGTGACAGACCAACTGAAGGCTCCCCCAAAGAGAGTTTCTAACACCAGAGACTAGTTTGGTCTCTCCAGAATTCACTGCATATTCCCTGCCTCCAAACATGGGTGGCTGGTGCTACCGTATCTACACAGCCTATCCCAGTGCCTCTCATAGAATAGAAAGCAATGCCACCAACTAGATCTACTGTGTGACAACCTGAAAATCCACACCAGCATGACAGTAAGGATTCTTTGACCTTTCATGTAAGATACACACTGTTAAAGGCTCCCCTCCCACTGGGCATATACATAGTGTACCGTCTAAAGTACAATGGGTACCCCTCCTACACCTTCCCCCACACCAGGCCCACCCTTTCTTTCCAGCATCTACTATTTCCAAAAAGGCTCCTAACAGATAATGGAGCCAACACTATCTCTCTGTTCTCCTTACATCTGAGTAATCCTTTTGTACAGCCATTCTGGGAACACATGAGATTTTTTAACGATAGTTGACCAGTCTTTAAAGGCATTGCATTGTGTTCCTGTTAAGGGCACATACACAGCACAGAGCCTTTGGTGTGGCAGCCCTTTAGCTCCTACCAGAATGAAAGTATACTGCCCCCAAACCATTATTATGTGACTACCTTCTTCTGTTTTTGAGAGAGAAAGGCGCTACTGTGGTTTGTGTGACGAGCAGAGAGCTGTATTACAGCGTTGCCTATGTGCTGGGCCAGCGTCCTAACAGTGGCTTGTAAGCCTTGTTGTAAAGTTTATGGCTTGATTTATTTCAATAGACTGGAACGGTTAAAAAACAATTTGCATCCTAGCAGGGTAATGCGCGCTGGACAAGAATGAAATCTCTCATTATAGACTCACTTAGTGGAAGCACGGGGTTCAGCAAGACTAACCAGCTGCCGCCATGATAGCACAGCAAAGCCGTTGTCGGTACAGGGAACCACGGGGCACAGAGCGTAAACCTGACTTACAAGCAGCATGTCTTGATAGCATTGCTATGCGGGGGCTCTTTTCTGTCTGTCAAGCAGTTGAAACTTTTGCTTTGTTACACATTAGGATGACTGCTGTAAATTTGCTAAGTCTGCAGTTCACTCAGTCCTCTTAAGCAAATGAACTTCCATCACTGATAGCCTTCTCTGTGTGGACCTTTTTCTTTTCTTTTTTCTTTTTTCTTTTTTCTTTTACTTTGTTCCCCTCCTCCCCCCACTGAACTTTCTACTCATAGGAAGGTAACACAGACTACACCTCGGAGTCTGATCAGAACTCTAAGAAAACAGTATGCCTTCCACTGGGTAACTTCATCTCTCCTTTCTCAACGGGAATGTGACTTCCATTACCAATTCACAGTTGCTCTGAACTTCCTGGATACTGACCTACAACATCACAACAACTGTGAATATCAGGGAGACAACAAAAGAGTCAGAGGAACAGCAGCTTGCTTTAAAGAAGATGAAACTCTGTGGCAATCGTAGGGAAGGCATACACTCCCCTAAAATGCTGGTGTGTCATTTCCAGAAGACTATGCCCTCAAATTAAAAACTATCGCTTCTACCTTTCAAGACCCCTTTCTAAGCACCCAGGGCATGGGATTAAAATGCTAGAAAGTAAACTTTCAGATGTGCCCACTATGCTGGAAGATACCATTTACTCCCTTTGTCACTAGACGCCAGTTCATTCTGTCCGTACTTGTTAAAGGTCACAATTTCCATCCCCATCACACAAATTTCCTAAAATAAGATGCTGGTCAGTAATTCAGAAAGAATGCGTAGACAAGCAGCCTATTCTTGGATCGGACAGTAGTGGAAAGACTGAACTGGTTTAGTCACTTAAAGTGGGCTATGGCTTTGGAGAGACTCCCTGAAAGGGAGACAGTCATTCGCAGCCAGGTTCACTGCACACTGAAGCATCTGGAATCATGTGGTATCTCTTCTGATGTTGGGCCCTTCCTTGGAATGAAAAGGAGAACTATGGCAGAGGTGGCCATTTTCAACCTTCGCCAACCACAAAGGGGCGCTCAACTCGCTGGCCTTGCTGAGGTTACTATGGCCCTGGTATCATTCACATTCAGCCCAGATAACCATGGCCCACCGGCTTCATTCAGTTATATGTGCTCTCATTATCCTGCCGTCTGCTGCTGTAATGCTCCTATTAATTTTCCTTTTGATATTTTAAGAGCAATCTATAAATCATGCCGCCTTTCATTTGTGCCATCATTAATGCTTGGTAATAATGCTGCGGCGTTGAGCTCAAGTGGTTAAACTAAGCGCACGACCAAGTAAACAAGCATCTTGTTCTTCCTCACTGGGCCCGGCTTGCCTGGAAGATCAACACACCCGCAAGCTTTCTCAAAGAGGTGTATGGTGATTTTAGGAGAAAGATCACAGTGTGAATTAAATAATTGTCTGAGGCCCAAAGTGGAGGAAACTTCTCATTTTCTTGCTGTGTGCACTTACCGCGGATGAAGCCAATTGCTTTTACCAGAAAGTTACTAACTAGTCCTTTTATGCACTAACACGTGACTCGGGGGCTCCTAAGAAATCAGAAATGACAGGAAAGGTGTCTAGAAGGGCCAGAGAAGAGCTGGTTTAAGAGGGAGACCAGGTCAGGTGACAGAGAGCTTTGGGTAGACAATACTCACACAGCTTGCATAGGGGATCTGCCTGGACTGCTGTCACTCTCGTTGCTGTTGGTATGCTCCATGGCCCCGTTCAGCTCCTCCCGGATGGCACTGGCCAGGCTGCCCAGAGTGGGGTTGCCCATGGAAGCGGTAGTGTACAGAGGTATACTATTCTCAGCCATGGAAGCCTGCATCAACCAAGAGAAATCGAATGAAATCGCAGGGGATGCCAGACAAGAAAGCTCTGGGTTATAGGTATGTGGTGTGTTTGATAGTTTTTGGTTCAAGTTCTCTGTATCGTGGCTGACAATCTATAAGAGCTGTAGAAATTTGCTTTAGGAGCCTTGGGTAAGCTATCTGGGCACCGGTGAGTCTACGGGTGAAGTTGTCTGCTGGCTCCTGCCTGGTGGAGTCATATGGTTTAGACAAAGGTTTCTAAAATGAGGTGTATAGCCAGTGTCTTTTAAAGAAAAAAAGGAACTGAATATTTCCAGATCACACTGAAATATAATGGAATTTTCATTTCTTTACCCATTTTGATGAGTGCTCTACTGGCTAGCTGAGATCTGATCAGATTATATGGCCACACGGCTCAAATTTATGAGAACTTCCATAAGCGCTCACAGGAAAGGAAGAACTGGAATCATTTTTTTTCCCCTACCAGTCCCATTTTAATGATTTTTTTTTGAACCTGCTTAGTGAAGGCTGACATAACCAGACAATGGTAACATCACACAATCTTTCAGCCTCAGACTAATCATGCAGAAGTTTGGAAGTTCAGAAAACTCTCCAGAAAGGGGAAAAAAAAGGCTAAATCTTATTTCCTTTATAATTAAGTATATCCATATTAAAGGTGACAAAGTCATCCCACTCCGAATGAGTGTCAGCAAAAAAAAGTATGTAAAGCTCCCCCCAATAAAGCCCACCCCAAACTGAAGTCTGGTAGAATACTGTTCATTGTCATGCCAGATGTAAACATAATGACCACCCTGTCTGCAATGTGGACAGGTGTCAAAAATACCACTGGATTGAAGAAGTCCCGTTTGTTCCACTTGAGTAGGGAGTGTGCCCAAGTGACTTTTCATTTTATTATTCAAGAGGACAGACTTGGGAAAAGAGGCAGCTGTAATTAGATGAAGATTTATCAAAATTGTCTTCTTGCAGACTACACTATGCCTGGTTTTCCATCCTAATGAGAGAGAGTACGATCACAAGACAATCTGGCATAGTGGCTTCAGTTGGCCCGTCATGTAAGAGTCCTAACTATTCTAGAAAAGCTGGCACCAAAGAGAAGGTATGAGCCAGAAACAAAGGGAGAAGAGGAGCAGAGCTGGGCTGCAGAGAATCTGCTTGTTAGTCAGTTGCAGTCTTGCTCCCTGTATAGACCCAGTGTCTGAAGTGCTTCCCAGATAGATACCCTGAACATGCTCGTGGCATCTCTCTCCTTCCCCTATGGAATTATCTGCTCTCTTTTTTAAAAGTAAAGGGAGGAGGGTGGTATCTCAAGATTTTCCGGTGTGGTGACCGTTTCCCACTCCTTGATGGTTTATCAGATAATCTGTTTGGATCCAGCACTTTGTGAACACATCTTTTATAATTGCAATAAGGCATTTCTATTCTTTCTGGGCAGGGAAGTTGGCACAGTGATATTACTGGCAGCTGGGCCGCCATCTTCAGCTGTCTTATGTGAGACCACACAGTGGTCACATTTCCCTGCCATGTAAGTTCTGCTTGGACTGTCAACTGAGGGGCCATCTCACTGTGGAAGTACCATGGGACTCTGCTCTCACTGAACAACTGCGAGGTTGAATGGTCAAGATGGAACAGAAGCTGGTGCCAATGGTACCATGAAATTTTATTGGACTCCGAAGCCCCAAACTGACATGTAGGAACCATGGAAACAGTTATAGGATTGTCTATTAAGAGAAGTGAGTATCTGCTTATTCTTTTTGATTCTCCAAGTATGATGGGTAAAAGTCATTTCTGAATGACACTGGGTAGGAAACTTCAATGATGACAGTCACCCAAGTGGCAGACTCTTGTCTTGGTCCCTTAACTCTCAGACACAATATAAGTACAGAGAACCAGTCTTGTGCCTTTAAACAAAACAGTAGTCACTGGACTACAGTAAGCTCCTGACGCCTGGCCCATCTCTGTGTCTCCTGAGTAGTCCTTCGCAGAGTGAAGAATCTGAGCAACCCCCAAATTATCACCTTCAAACAGGTCCTTCCTGTAGCTGATGCTTCTAGGAGCAGCTGTGCCACCATGTTTATAATGGACTTAATGATATACATGATCCCTGGCACAGTGTGTGGCTTTGTATCAAACCGGCACCTCTGCCCGCAACACAGAGGTTCTTAAGTGATGGCACACGGGCCCTTAAGTACGTACGGGGAGGCTTTTTGGAATGTTAACTGCTCTGCGCTCCCTGGGGGAAAGGCAGTCTATAAATACGAAGCTTTATGGTTACCCTTAGTTACCTCACTTTTTCAGAGCATAATGCAATCTGTCCCGAGCCCCATGTTTTATTTCTGTAGTAGATTCTGCTGTCCTATTTTATAAATTGTGTATCATGCCGTTATGTCGCTCGAGTAATTTTTTTTTTAAAGAAGATATTGTTGCGCTGTTATTTTTACTTGCCTTGAAAAATGGAAGTGGGTGATAAAGGAAGGAAAGGAAGGCCCTGCTGGTGGGGTCTTTATTTAATTTGCATGGCAGGAAGCTGTCTTGTATGACTGCCTGTCTACTGGTGGGGAATCCAAATTCAAGAGGAGGGGCAAAGGAGATACTCCTTAAATTGTTCCTGGAAAGCCACAGGCTGTTTTTTTTTTTTTTTTTTTTGGTGGTGGTGACGGGGACGCAGAAGCGTGGAGATGGGTAGGGAAACAAAAGTCACAGAGACGAAGCGTGAATGCATCTGTAACGATACAGCACGCTAATTGAAATTAGTCACATAGAAAAGGGAATCCAATGTAAAATGTGCTTGTAATTTTAATACCAATTCAGATAGAGCCACCTTTAAATTCATACTTCACAAGACTCCGGGGAAAATAAGTTACTAAAGCATGGTATTTACAGTGGCAGTGTATAAGCTGGCTTTCATTTACTCTTGTGAAGTTGCTGTGTAAACTACGAGTAATTAAAAGAAATGCAGAAAGTAGTTTCTCCCAGTAAATTCAGTTCAGGCTAAAAAAGAAGTAAATAGAATTACTGAGATGCTCAGCTCAGCGAAGTCTGCCTTGAACTGTGTCAGGGGTGTGTTACCCACGAGGAGCCCGAGGATGCTGTGGGTGAGCTGGGAAGACAGGCACAAGGAATAGAGGCTCGGTCAATATTTGCTTAGCAAGCGGTGAGAATCAGGCTGCTGTCACTGCCCTCCCCTCTCTCCCCCATCTAGTTCCCATCATGCCACACGTTCTAAGCCTTTCCCCACTGGCATCCCTTTTTTTGGGCATTTGTTTCTCTGTTTCTGCCTTCGCTTGTAGTGTTATGGCCCCTCAGAAAAGCCAGAGACATCACAGAATCCAACAACCAGTTCAGGAGTGCTACAGTACTCACACTTAATATAGTGCTGGGGGTGGGGGGTGTTAATAAGTGCGTGAGATTTGTCTATAGAGTATGATGTGATGTAAATGTTGCAAGATCCTTTCTGGGATGTCTTCTAGACCAATCAAGGTAGGTTTAAAACAAACAAACAAACAAAAAACAAAAACAAAAAAAACCCAAAACCCAAAAAACTAACCATGGCTACAGGGATCCTGGCTACCTCTGAGCTCTTAAGAGAGATCAGAGTATGGCATTAGGTATTTAAAAGAAGTGATACCAGATACTCCATTAATTTTGGAAATCAGTTGTTCGTGTGATACCTGTGAGGAACAAGAAACCTAGACTGCTAGACGCACAGATTGTTCCTCCTGTAGTTCACACCCAGGGCTCACACCTTCTAAGACTCTGTTGCTGAGGTCATATGTGATTTATCTGTCGGTAGGAAACAAACATTCCAGGCTCTGATGGCTAGGTTTTCCTGAACAAATGGCTGGCTGGTAACTTCTACTTTTCTTGTGCTTTCTGTTGTTTAGACAGTTGACTTACACGGGGAGGAAACAAACCCAGGCTCCACCCCCCACAGGAAGAAAAGGTGTTGAAATGGACTTTAATAACGCCTCCCTTTCTCTTTAAACCTAGGAACAATGGAAGGTCACGTGACACGGTGGCCTATCATCCCGCACATTAATAGCTGTGCTAGAGTAATTACACTTGTGGTATTTTTGCCTCGAGTGAAATTCTGAAATAAGAGGATGGAAATTATGATACCGCTGATAAATATTAATAAGTGAACTTTTAATTTTTTTTTTTTTTTGCCACAATATTCACAATGCTGAGCATCCTGCTAACGCTGAGGCAGCCCGACGCGCTTGCCTCCAGGGAGCGCGAGGCTTCGTGCACTTAAGAAAAAAGTTTAACGGAATTAAAATTTAATATCTAATTAGAGCGAGGCTAATATATTTTGAAATGAGTGGGGGAGCCCTGCGCCTGTGCTGCAGATTGGGGGTGGCCGTCAATCTTACCTGTAAAGCTGCATTGAGGGGGGTGCAGTAGGCGTGGCTGCTCTGCATGTTTTTAATAAGGGAAGGGTTACTGTGTAAGAAAAAGATAAAAACTCAAAGTTAAATGAAATCGACCCAGGGGTCCTCGCCAACTTTTGTTTTTAAAGTTCGCTGGTAGCCTTTAAATTCCTCCCCCACCCCATCACCAAACCGAAGGAAAATTAAGCTTTATCTATGTTTCTCGGGGTTGGTTTGGGCAAATCCCTCTGGGGATGAACCCAGTGCTTCATCCTGGTGAAACTGCCTTAAATTATAACACACTTGGGTATATCCCCTGGGGACCAGTCTGCAAAGGGTCAGCTGCTGCCAGGCTCCAGTAGGAAGGTAAGGGCTGAGTGGCCGGGTACCTGGGACTGCCTGCCGAGCTCTCAGCTCGCAGGCTTCCTTCTTAGTTATACGTGACCCTGACTGCTCAAAGAGAAGGCACGTTTATTCCTCTTTCATAAAGCAGAAGCTTTGGCTGCTGTCTTTCCTCTATAGCCCAGTCTGGAAAAGCAAGTTCTAATTTGGTGCTCTTTCTATTGACTAGGTAAAAGAAGCCACAATACCATTTAAAAAAAAAAAAAAAAGAAAGAAAAGAAAAGAAAAAAGAAAAGAAAAATATCTTTGCCCTAGTTAAAAAATAAAAATAATAATAAAAAAACACTACAAAATTACATTGGACATACCGAGGGAAGTGTGGCTTCCGGTAGCTAATGAGGCTCATTTATCAACAGACTTTGAAGGGAATAATGTTATCAATCTTTCCCCTGAGCTTAGGACAATTTGGTTTCCAGACTTTTGAGACTGGGTCTCTCTAAAAAGTCTAGGCTGTCTTAGAATGTGCAGTCCTCCTGCCTCAGCTTCCCCAGGGTGAGGGTGGGGGCTGTCATTATAGGCACACACCCCTACGCCTAGCTTGTTCACAATTATTGTTACTTGAGTGTTCAGTGGGAAAAGAATTATTCCACCAGATATATACTGTAACCACCTCTTCCTTTCACTTGCAGGGACTGTGGGTAACACGGGCAATATCTAGCTTTGAGGGTCCCCGTAAGCTGCTGAATCAAAATACAGTCAATCATCGGCATTAGAGACACAGAAAAAGCATCATTCTAGGCACTGGCGTTCCAAAGAGAAACGAGCGAGGTACATGTACAGATCACACCGTTTAGTTTCTGTTGCAGAAAAGCTGTGGCACTGCTCTTGGGTGAAATGTCATACTACATGGGATGAGTCAACCATGCAAAGCCAAAGCAACAGCAGACACAAGAGAACAAAGCAAGTAAAGGCTCTTACTGTGCGCCAAGCTCGTCAGAGTTTTCACCGGGGCAGTATTTGCGAGGACGGCCTCGTTGAATATGGCGGCCACGTATAAACTCTTCATCATCAACTGTCCAAAAGGACCCAAACTCATCCTCTACTCTGATAAAGCACTTATGCAGTGAGAGGTTGGTGCGAATGGCACCCTGGGATAGGAGCAGCAGCAAAGGAGATGGAGTGGCAACAAAAGGAGGCGGGGTTGGGGGCAGGACAGACATCCAATACAGGGAACAGGAAAAAGAAAATAAAATGCAATAAGCATAAGCGAATGGCTCGTGAGGGTTAATATGCAACGCCGCCTAAAAGCTACTAGCATGGGATGTAACAGAGACCAGCAAGCAGGGGCAGGGGGACTGGTGGGTATACGAGACAGGAGGGATGAAATGTTCTCTTGCTTCCCTTAACTGAGACAAACGTGAAAACCAGGTCTTTGGTCTGACGCCGCCTAGCAGCCTCTAAGGTACACTCGTTAGCACAATCCGAGCTGGGCTAAGAAGTTCAAACATGGCGGACGTACCCACTGATCTTTTGTGGCCTCCGTTTTTGGAACTCTACTTCATCCACTGTCCATACTGCCCCTTTAACGTTCTCTACTCGCACAAAACACTTGTGGAGACTAAGATTATGACGCACTGCATTCTGCAGCAAGTATAAAAGAGAGAACATTGACATTTTTTTTCCGTAAGAAAAGACTCAAAAAAAAAAAATTACAAAGCAGTACATTCAGCCCCACATCTGTTAAACCATCCTCCAGAGCTGTAGCCTCCACCCCCACCCCCATGGAGGACCTTCTTTTGAGTGTCTTTTAAGAAAAACCTCAAATTATGAATAGATGGTACTCTGGCATTTAAGCCTAATTTCTGGTACCATGTGACCAGAAGACAAACTGGTAAATAAGCATGCAAATCCCAAGCAGGTCCCTCCAATAAATCTAAAATATTGTTAAAATGCTGTCAAAAATCGGTAAAGTATAAAAACTATTCTTCACAAACCCATCTGTGTGGGATTCTAAAAAATACTTTATTTTTAAATCAGGAAAAGGTGAACACTTTTAAATATACAGCAATATCTGGCTCTGAAACCATGCACACACAGGCTTTATTAAGGAAAATCGTAAATAGGATTTTACCACTGAGAGTACCATCTTGTGTAGGAAAGATGAGCAGAGGCTAACTCAGCACCAAGAGTTCAGCCTGACTACTGAGCAAAACCTTACCTTCTGGAATATTTGTAAACACTGGCAATTACGTGGAGGAGCAATTTTAACTAATTGAGCAAATACCAAGAACTTACAAGTAGGACTCTCAATGGCAAAATGACTATATTCCATTACTTGGTTTCTACGTTTCTTATGTTTAAAAGTCACTGTTGGCCATTGCTGAGTGGGATCCTTCACATCTAACAAAAAGAACATTCTTAACTCAAGTGCAAAAAGGCTCTAAATGTCTCTCATTTTCAGGAAAATTCACAACCCTGACTGGATAACCAAACTGGATACACTTTAGTCTTGCCTGGCTGACCAACTCGATGATGGACTTGAGGCTATTACAAGTGACCTGTGGCAGGTTTTTTTTTGTTTTTTTTTTTTCCATACAAAATGGTTCGGGGGAGGCAGAGGCAGTTGACACCAATACTGAGATTTTAGCACCTTATATGAAGCCTCACTTAATCCCAGCATTGTATTATTCAGACAAGCTACACTCTTCTCCTACAGTAATTTGCTTTCTTAGTGACAAATCTTGAAAGTCTCAGGGGTCTTTCAGATTTCTGAGAAATGATCAGGTTACCTAAAAGTTAGTCTGCTCTGTGACACACTACTTAGAGGATAACAGGCACATCTTTATTACTCCTCTGATGATCTGCTCACCAGTGGACTCCACAGAGTGAACTCCCAGGCACTCTTTGAGTCCAGCTGGCTTCTGATCCTGACATGACTGTCAAAGGCTATCCTGGATGGAAAAGCTTTTTTGATGGGTTGCTTAAAAACAAAGCTCTACACACATAAACTTAAGCTAGCTTTTAAGGAAACAACTTCTTTATACTGCACAGGGAATTATTTCCTCCACTACCATGAAGGAGACAGAAGCAAATGAAGCCTCTTCCCTTTCAAAACCAAGAGAGCACATGTGCACAGACATGAGGGAAATGGCTGGGGAACAAGGCAGCATCAATCGCTGTTGGAAATTTTACCTAAGCATCAAAATGCACAAAAATCCAAAGGCTCGAGGGGTTATTGCTGATCAAAGAATGATTTAGAGGGCTCTGTATACTAAAACAGAAAGCAACTAAAAATCAAGAGTTTTTGAAAGAAAAAGGATCAGCAAGTGACACCATTCCACTTGTCTTTTGGATCACTGTCCCAGTAAGGACACAGAGAGAAAAAACTATCTGTACTGATGAGTCTCTGAGTACTATATATGGGACTGTTTGTATTAGTGACACTTCTGCCTTTACTTTGCAACTTTACATATGGGACTGTTTGTATTAGTGACACTTCTGCCTTTACTTTGCAAAGCCGGAAAAGTGAGATGTGAGTTGAAATTCGTATCTGCAACTGGTAATTATTTTGAAATGTGGTCATTTGGTATTTATAAAAAGCAATTTGAGGAAAATGTCCTCTTTACGCTTCTACTTCCTAAATTTTTAAAAGATTTGTAGCTGAAGAGCCATTGTATTTTATCTTGTGAGGCAGGATTGGAAAGACACTAAGATCTGCAATATAATTTCCTGTCAGACCCCATGTGGCTAATGAATTAATTCTGTGCCTATACTAGTTTTCTTATAGAATGCAAGGAGAAAAAAACAAAACATGTCTCTTCCTATTAAATTGAGGAAGTCGAATCCTATAAGGGCACCTGTTGTACTCAAACTATGGATAAGGACAAATCTTGAATGCTAGGTGGTACTAAATAGATCTAGTTGGCATTGTGTAATAAAGTCAAACTAGGAAGCGGAGAAAAAGTAGTGAAGGCTATTTGTGTAGCCCAGCCTGGCCTTGTACTCAAAATCTCCTACTTCTCAAATGCCAGGATGACTGACATATACCACCATGCCTAGCCAGAAAGGGTTAATAGCACAAGGACTAAATGCCAATGAAATTCAGAAGGGACTCCAAGCGTTTGGGGGGTTACCTAGAGGAGTTATGGCAGCTGACCTGTTCTATGGCAAATGGTGTCACATTACATAATTCTGAAACTACCTTTTTCCCTCGGGGTAACCATGAACCCATTCTTATAACTGATACCTTGTATTCTGCAGAAATCACCCTTTTTGCTGTGCGAGTACACGGATTACACAGCTTCCTCTATTTGTGGGGTTGATGAGCTTTGATCTAACCACTGAAGGATCTTATTCAGCTCGGCTTCTAGTTACACCCCTGAAAATGAGTGTTGGTTACCCATGGTTTGTGTAAGCAATAGGGTCAACCTCAAAGTTAAGGGTCACAGTGTCACCTCCTTTCCCTACACAGAATTCTCCAGCAAATCCAGACACACCTCTCTTGCAGGGGCTGGGAGTGGGGTGGTTCTTCCATCTGAACACTTCAACCATAATAAAACACTTCTAGTCACATTCCCAGTGCTAGTGGAATATTCTTGTTGCCCAGTAACTGATTTTCCCAGCAGATCTTCTCTTCTATAAAGGTCAAAATTTGAGACAACAAAGCTTACCTTCCACGTGGCTGCATTGCGTCGGAAGTAAGCAAACATTCGTGTGAACCAGTTATAGATTTCGTTTAGTGTTAGCTGCTTTTCTGGAGATTCGAGAATGGCCTATGAGGCAAGAAGAATCCGAAGAAGGTAATTTATAATCCAATAGGCAGGAACATTCGACAGTGCTCATGAAAACGTAGAAAAAGAAAACCAAACCAAAACCAAAAAGAAACCAAACTCCTCAGACAGGTTTCACAAAATGATCGAAGATTAATGGTTGTATTTAAACAGTTCAATAGCAAAACTCGAAATGGAATTATCTAATTGTTTGGAGTTTTTATTTCTGTTTCCGTACAGAAATATTAATTTATTAGTCATTCATAAAGCAGAATCAAAGAGAAATGCAAAACATTTCACTAGCTGATTAAAGCTCAGTAATTATTTAGAGCTCAGATTAATTCTAGGGATCAGAGATTACTGTAGCTTTGTGATAATTGACTTGCCATCTTTAAACAGCCTCATTCTCACTGTTGTGTGAAATGAATTCCCTAATAATCACATCGTATTGTAATACTTAATCAAAAGCAATTATGTTATATATTGCAGTTTTTAAAAACCTTATAGAAAAGGTTTTAGCATGCTTGCATACTAAGTGGTTTTAAATCTACTTCATCAATATAATATACCCACGGACACCTTTTGATAGCATTTCACAGTCCATGTTATTTACTTACCTGCCTAATTAAAGATGCATATGTAAATGGTGGTCTAACTTCTGCGTTCTTATAAAATTCTTGGTTCTGCGCAATATCTGCTAAATAAGAATCATTGTCCTATTAATAATCACTTTTTAAAAGGGGCTCGTCGACAGGAACTGCAGATTCCCCATGCTGCCCCAGGCAAAGACAGAGAGTAGCTACCTGAAGAAATGGGCACGTTGTATTTGTCTGAGTACCGCCTGCGGATAGGTCCCACCGTGTGCATGCTGGTGGTGGTGATGACAGAGGGGCCTTGGGTGACGGGAGTCAGGGGGGCGGTTGGGGTTGTTGGAGTATGAGGTAAGCTCTGTGGAGAAGCCTCTGAGGCGGACTTGGAGAGGGTGACACTTGATACCAGATTCAGCTGTGAGGAGAAGGATATTGGTTAGGAGGACTTGAGGAAAGCAAAACAGAAAGAACAAATCAAACAACCACAGAAACCTGAGCAACCGTAAAAACCTCTCTTGTCCCAAAGCAAAGACTGGTGCACACCTGGCGAGGGTTACCTCTCCAAATCAGTATGTTTACACAGGACAGCCTTTCAATTAAAGAGATTCTCCTTCATACAGCAGCAAGGTTGGGGACTGAAGGGACGCCAGCTGAGCTACTGTGGTAAACCTGGTTTGTCCAGTATAACTTTCAGCAACGTACTGCCACAACTAGAAAGCTGAGGTGCCTACTTTTTTTTTCCTTTAACCTTAAAATTGCAATGGGTTTACTAAGAGGCCACACAGGATTCTGAGCCTCTACAGAGACCAGCAAGAACAGGACTTAAGTCCACTGAGGAAATGAACGCACCACGGGACTGTGCATTGACGGACCTGTGGTTCCCAGCTCAACAGTGGCCCTTACTGAGAAGGCTGACATCTATTTCTATAAAGTTGTAACATTTGGTTGCTTAAAAGATTTAAACAGTCCAACTATGAAAGCAAAGCATCTCTGAAGCAGGGTGGAGCAGTATGAACGACTGCCTCTCTTTCCTTCTGCTCTACTGCATTCCTCTTTATGATTCTTATACTACTGGAAAGGATGATTCTTCTCTAAAACTCATCGGGGCAAGAAAAGCCCTTTGAGTTTGACAATGCAGAAGAACCTAGTGGTTTTCATCATGTTGATGGAGGTATCAAGTACTTAGACTCTCCCAAACCCAAGAAACTTCTACAAAGTACGCTGTCACTTGGCCAACATTTTATCACAGTACATTTCAAGTCAGCTACCATAATGTCTATTTTGCCACCATCAGATTAAGCACAAGTATTATTTGTGGATGATATTAAAAGTGCGTCCTCTTAAATTCAAACAGTAGGAATGCAAGAGACTACTACCCCTGTGCAGTAAGTTCCAAAGGAGGAGAAAGGAAGAGAACCAATGTCATGAAAGGAACATTAACAGAAAACCCAGACTGGGTGTTAAAGGGTGGGCTGAGCGCATTCAGCTCTGCTTTTCTGTGTTCGGTTTGAAATATTGACTCAGCACACCACAAGCCCCCAGTGTCCAAGAACAGCAAGCTGGGGCCTGCTCCCGCTGACCTTCAGCAAGCTGGGGCAATGTGGTAATCTGCCCTCCCAATGGTGCTAGAAAGCTGACCATGACACACATTTGCAAACCAAGTGCTAATAGTGCAGAGTAGAGACCAGGGACAGGGCAGAGCAAGATGCCGATGGAGAATAGCAAAGGCTGACCCCTTCTCCCCCTCAGCCTTAACGAGTGCCCAAGTCTGGCAACTGTAAGTATTAGCATCGGCTGAAGTTGGGGGTCAGGAAATTAGTGTAAAAAGATCCTAAATACATAGGTTTGATCCTTCAGATGCTGTAAGGCCTGAGCGTGAGGAGACTTTGGAAAGCCACAGATATCGTTCATAAAAAATGCACACTCTAAAACACCTGCTCTGAGAGGCTTCATTTCATTCACACCGTTCTACAAACTCCTCACGTTTTACAAAGACTGAAAAAGAAGCTTGTCCATATTCTTGACTCAGACCCAAAGTCAACCCACATTCTTGTACGGTCCTACAGCCTCTGCACCCTCTACTTATGCCCAGTTAATGTCTAAATGAACGCTATGAACACCTCTACCTCTCAGTTATGCTTGCTTCTGGAAAAGATCCCGTGAACAGCTTTTATCCTTGCTTATGAATGACACTCAATAAATATTACCAAGAACTTCTAGAGGCTTGGAAGCAGAACTAAACCACAGAACTGCTGTCCTTGAAGTGCTTACTGTCAAAAGCAGGCATAAAACCCAGGCAGCTTCTCTACGGTTTCACCCTAGATCCCAACTTCTCCTTCTAGCCTAAGAACATTATCCCAGTGCCCCCTACCAGTTCTGTAAGTTGGGCAAGTACGAACTTCATTCAGCAGGTACGAAGTCCAGCAGGTACGAAGCCCGTCATTTGAATACTCAGATCTGAGAAGAATTGGTGAACCTACACACATGCCATTAGATGTGTAAAGAATGTGACTCTTGCAGCTTTTATATAGGGCTTAATAGTACTTGGACCAGTTCTGCCCGCAACAGCAACAATGAAAAAACAGATCCTTCTAGGCTGGCACAAGACAGGAAGACAGCAATGCAGGCTGAAATTTCTGGATGCTTTTGAATGTAGGTAGGAACTAGAAATAAACAGTGAGCCTGAAGAGAGGGCTTACCAGGCTTGACAAATGACACCGTGATTCACACCCACTGCTGGGCTGTCTCTAATAAGCCACAGAGGAAGCAGCCAATCTCAGCTAATTACCAGATAAAAATGTATTGTAAGGACTCTAATTAGGAGATGCGGACGGAGGTGATCTAATGATTAAATGGTACATTCGACTGACCCCACCATGGATGTGCAGTGGTGCACAATGTCGCTGGAATATTTTGTAGAAACAGTAATTTTATTTCAGGGAGGGGAGACAGTAATATTTGTAATGATGGCTATGAGGTAAACTAATTAAAAGACAGTTCCTAGAGGAAAAGGGTGTCTGGGAACAGCTGCGGCCATTCCAAACCCAAGTGCCAAGTCTCAATGGAAGAGCTTCAGTCAAGTGGAAAATTTCTACCTGACCTCTGCCCTTGCTATTAATTTGCAGAAAAACTAATGACACATATACATATTCCCACAAAATTGTTCTAATTGCTAATTTGCTAAAGGAGCCTGGATTCTAAATTAAACATGACTGTAGCCTGTGAGGGAAGAACAAAAAAACTGGGAACTCCAAACAGAGGGAGCTATGCCACGCAAGACCATCAGAAGTCTGGACCAACACGTTAATGAGACACGATCCTGGCAGCTGCTGTACAAGTTCCTTAACTTTTAAACATCTGTCTGGCCATCACATACGTGTCTCTAAGGGAGAAAAGGTTGGGTAGGGGGGCTACCAAGAAGGATTCAAAAAATACTGTGTTCACATAACCCCTGTTCTTACCATGAAGGACTCTACCAAGAACACTGAAAACAGAATCATGAGCCCCACCACAAGCTGAGAAGAGCAAACTAGGGTGCTGCGGAGGATGACTCAGTCAGGAAAGAGCTTGCCTAAGGAGGGAGACCAGAGCTCACATCCTCAGCATTTCGGGTGTAATGGTCCGGGCCTATAACCGCCAGCCCTCAGAAGGCAGAGATAGGAGGACTCTGGGGCTTTCTGCCAAGACAGCCCAACTGAATAGGCTCTCCAGGCTCAGTGAGAGATCCCGTCTCAAAAAATAAGGTGGGGAAATGATTGAAAAACACATGGGACATTGATCCTTGATACACATGCCTGCATGCTTGCACACGTACAGATTAAAAAGCAAATCATTGGGAATAGTTCGGGTTTTTTTTTTCCTGTTACCTTGAAATATGTATGTTAATTGTCAATTACCAAATCTTTGTACAATCATCAGTAAGAAAGAAAAGCCTTGATGTTTTGTGTTTCCAAGTGTAAGTGAGGTTTTAAAAGAGATTTCTTTTTCCCCTCCAGGGCATGGAGCAGGAAGGGTTCGGACTGGGAGGGTTTCTTTCCCTGATGGAAAGCCCATTTTTCTCATTGTGCTCACTTTCTATTTAAGAAGAAGTTGCTATGTTTAGAAAAGCTAGTAACGCAGATATTTTTCTCCATGGCAAGTTGCCACTGAAGGGATGATTTCAGCAAAGATAATCTCTTTCAAACTCTGGCCAGGAGCTAAATTCTTATGTCACTTAAAGTTGCTGCAGGCTTTTAGTTTTTAAGAAAAAATACAAACAACTGTGCTATCAAGCCTTTTTACCTTAGTTTGGTTACCGAAGGACTTTCTTGGAAGGGTCTATCCCTGAAACTACCCCAGCTATCAGCAGCCCAATATCGTATTTTGTCCTTTCTAAAAACAAAAATCATTCTTTAGTTTTTCTACAGCACATTCCCTTCCCGTGTAAGGATGGTGAGTCACTCACATTTAAAAAATAATAAACAAACCGCTGGTGTAAACCCCCAGACAGAAACTGACTTGCTAGGGAGTATTCCCACAAGAATTTTTTGTTTTGTTTTTGTTTGTGCTCTTACTTCTCATGAAAACAGATTCTGAGAACAAAAGAAAAACCTGAAACCAAAACACCAGAGGCCAGCGCAGCACAGAAGGGACTGCAGGCTTGCCCAACTGGTTTCTCTGCTGTTGGCTGGATGGGCCTGAGACGCTCAGGTCCTGCCCCCACCTGCAATGTTCAGAGACTAGAGGCTGCCTTTGTAGGCATGAATCACCAAGTTCAGACTCCACGGACAGAGGGCAGGGCGGTGGGTGGCAGAGAGGCCTTTGGAAAGGACTCTGTGCACGGATGGGAGAGTGGCTTATTCTACAGACTCAGAGGGTGGCATTTCTGGCAGGGACAGGAACAACAAATCCGAGGTGAGGAAGGGGACTTCACAAAACCAGTCTATAAAACAGCTTTTGTGTGCTGCATCTGAGAGTTCCTCTTTATGACAGGCTGCCATTGCTGCTCCAAGGCTCTTGCAGGCCACAGCTGACCACCCACCCTTGAAGTTCATGGGCTTTTTTTTTTTTAAAAGGGTAGAGGGAGCACTCTGTTTTGATAGGAGCTAAAAGCTATTTCAAAACAGTCCTAATTGCTATAGTTAGAGTCTAAGGGAATGTACAAAGGGAAAAACCTCGAGCTGCATTTCACTCCAAAAGTGTGTTATAAAGTTTTTCATAAAGTAGTCTCTTCTACCTGTGCTGGAGTTACTTGCCTACCAAATCTCAACGAATGTGGTTTCTCCAAGCCTGGGGAGTAGTTCTCGCAAGTGTAGGACGCACCCCCCCCCCCCAAGTAAAGCACCCAAGTAAAGGTGCTCCCCAATTCCTCGTTACGAAGTGGAATTTCCACTGCATACTCCTAGCAACCAGCATAGCCAAATGTCTTTGTAAAAAGTCATCGGCAACTTAATGAAGCCCTAACACAGGCACGTTTCCTTCTGTTGCTCTGTGTTGAGTTAAATCCCCCAGCCCCTGCCCCACCCCCACCTCCAGATCAATCTCAGCCAATTCTTCATGGAGTTAAGTATAGACATTGTGCTGCTTGCTCTGGGAATGGAACTGGGTTTGGAACAAAGGAATCACGGCCTATTTTCTTCCCCTTGCTGTTGCTTCTCTTTCCGTGGGAAACAGCAGAACTTTTAAATCTTAAACGACAACAAATTTGGCTTCTGTAAACATATGTCAACAACAGCCTTTTCTCTCTGGGCAACTCTAGAACTTGCTAGATTCTAGCTAAGCAGGGCCTGGCTGAAATGGCAGTAGACTTTTAAGACTGCTTACTCCTTCCACTCCTCTATGCTGACCCTCACTGTATATGTCCCTCTCCCACTCCCATCCTCCTATATACAGATCTGCATACCCACTCCTCACCAGAGGCAAGAGCTGGGAAGCCAACCTCTTTCCTTCCAGAGAATCCTCCTCAGCTTTTAAGTTTCAAATGACACTTCATTTCCCCAGGTCACTTTTCCTAGTCACACACAGCATTCTCTATGCAGCAAACAGTCTATGTGTATGAGTATGTATGTACATATGTACAGATACATGCATGCCCTTATTTTATTTGGTAGCTCGTCCACAAGACTCCCAACACCTCCTCAGCAAGTTAGGACTTTCTCATTTGATCATGCTCAGTACGTAATGGTGGCCAAGTAGCTATCTCTTGATGGAAAGATTTGGTTTCTAAATTCAGGAGTTCCAATCCTGAGGGGAAGAGCTTCAATGGCCATCAGAAGACATGCTACCCAAGGAGTCAGCAGGACCCAAGGCCTGGGATACACTGTTTCCATTAGCTATACACTTCCAGCCCATTTTGGGTGGAGCTCAGAGCCTCATCTACACCCTTGGGCACAGTCTTGAGAATGTGTACATCCTTTAACTATCCACATCTGAAGACACATCCCTCACTGATATCCAGAAAATGCATCCCTGGGCTGACATAAGAACCATCTGAGAACGTGTTGGCAGCTCTTGGAGGGAATGAACTGGGGACAGGGTGGACCATTAGATACAAGAGAGACACTTGCCACCCAAATGGCACTTAGCGAAGGGCTACATTTGCAACAAAGCACTCTATCTCTTAGTGACTAAGTTTTAAAATAAACACTAAGTTCCCTTTTAAAGAGAAATGGAAAAAGAAACAGCTTCATAAACTCGCTGGCAAGGTTGTAACGTGGAAGTCCCCATCCATGGTTAGATGTGAAACTCGGTGACTATTTCTCTCAAACCACAGATTCTAGAATGATACTCATTCAAACACTCACCAGCCGTTCCATTATTTAGAGAGGAATAAATTAATTACAGGCTGTAGGGAATATTTTGAATGTTAGGATCAGTCACCAGATAGCTCCCAGTCCCTAAAGTTGAAAGCATCAAGGGGTCTGAAATATGCATGGGCCTTTTTCTCCTTTCTTTTCTTTTGGCAAGGAAGTGAAAATTTATGCAAAACATTACACGTCTATCTTTTATAATTAATTTTCCAATGCCTCACCTATACATATTTTAATAATTCCTGATTTCTAAGATGGTATCTATAATAAAATTTTCTATTTTCCAATAAATGAAAAGGAGGCAGGTTCACTCCGACAACAGAGTGTCACACAATATCTACGTGTCAGGCACCAATTTTTACTTCTTACATGTAAGTTAAAGGATAAGGCATTTATAATGCTGCCTGTGAGGAGAACCACTTTTCATACACAAATGTGATTTTTTTCCAAAGGGTAATACAACAGTACATTTACATAAACTAATCCAAACAATCTATGTATTTGACAATGGCAAACCTCACACAGACGGCCTATTGTTGGTTTACATCTTGGAGTTCTTTATACTGGCTTGTAGCAGCGCTCTAGCTGTCAAAGGTTTGACTTAGACTCTAAATAAATGGTTACAGAAGTGCTGTGCAGCGATATTGGACTTCTTTGCAAAAGAAAACCTGCTGTGTATGAATTCAAAAGCTATTAATTTTTCAGTCAAAAATATTCGTGCCTATTTCTTTTAATAAAGAAATACTGTGCTGAGCTAGTAAGAGATAATGTTGACTAGTGGTAGAGAATTTTCAATAGAGCAGTTAAAAATAAATTTAGTAGGAGGTCCCCTTCAAAGTTATAATTTTCTAGAATGTAAAACATTTTTTTTTCAATACTAATCAAGACAAACCTTCTTTCGCTGTTCATTCCGTCACCCCCAGCCGCTTCTCTCTTGTTTATTGGCTACTTAGCAGGTCCACAGGGAGATAGATCATCAAGGGTCCTCTTATGCCTGTGTGGGCTTACACACATGGTGTTCCTAGCTAGGCCAACCCTATTACTTGCTGAGGATCCCAAGCGACTCTGTAGTTTCATCTCTGTATGTAGATTCCTCCTCTGCCTTGATACAAAACAAGCCTATTGCTAGACTGCTACATTCAGTCATGACTCTTATCACATGTTTTTAATCCACGGAGGAAGATGGGGACAACCTCATTCTCTCCCTATTTCTAGGTGTGAATGAAGACTCAGAGTCTTCATCCTAGGGGAGGCACTTCACTAAAGCCCTCGAGGACTTCCAGAGAGGGCCAAGACAATCACTCCCCTTTGCCAATGGTCATGACTCTTCTAGAAGTCGGGTAAATCATTTCAAGGCCGCACTCAGGGCAGTTTGCTCAGCTGGGTCCATGTTCTTCCCAGTGTTCTTCTGAAAAGAAGGGACAGGTGCGAACAGCTCCGAATGCTTTGCCCCACCCCCGACCCCTGCTTCCTTTTTTGGTAGCTTAGTCATCCAGTCCTGGAGCCATTTACTGTGAAATACAAGGTAGCTCGGACTCTTCCCCAGTAAAAATGGACGCATGGAGTGTTTAATGATTTTATGTCCTGTATCTCAGTAATGTGTTCTGCTTCAGACATTAATTCTGTCTGCCAACTGCATCTTGGCAGGCTACCATATTTACTGGGTTAATAGTCTGACTCCGTTTCATTTCTATCACCGTGTACATCAAACATATAGGGGTGTGTATTTGCTTTATTTATAGAAAAAAAATATCAGTCAAAACAGATAAACCAATACTTTGCCATTATGCTGCATCATTGCATGTTGATTAAAATTGCTGCTACTACTAACTATAGATTGTCAACGCTCAATTAATTTTCACACAGGAACTCCCAGCAAAATCAAATAAAGTCAGCGTACCTTTAAATTTTACAAATCTTAAAATCAGGAACCAAGGCATGGCCTCCATTTTGAATAATCAGCTAAAGCGACTAGGAGATTTCCAGAAACGTATGGGAGTGATATCAGTGCTGAGGAGATCAGTCTATGGTGAAGAACAGAGCCCAAGGCAGGATTTTTTGTAAAGGAGACTCCTCAGAACCTAGTATGATCATCATGTCTGTGTCATCCCAGGTCTCTGCTCATGCCTATCTTCACGATGGTCTTACCCATGAAAGGCCAAAAGAGTCAACTAGGGGAAGGGGTTTGGCATCCATGTCTGCCCTAGGAGGTATTCCCTCAGTGCTTGAGGTGGGAGGCAGAGAAGGAATGCCACCAGGTCGTTCCCTGTGGTGGGGACAGTACTTACGGGCTGAGGGGCAGCTTTGGGTTCTGTAGACTTCACATGCAGGTGGGTCATCATGGCTTGCAGGCGCTCTTTGTCTTTTGCAAGCTAATGGGAAGAAAAAGCTTTGTTATGTCATTGAATACAGATGCGTGCGTGACTCCTCTGAACACCCCAAATGATGAATATCCCAACTAACTACTGCACTGCAGCACATGACACAATCATTTTTATTGCTTCATCATCTGAGACCTATAGGACCCCTGCCAAAGTTCAAGTAACCAGGGGTGTTGATGTGAGATTTCCCAACACAAGGTATATGAGACTTTAACTGGCACGTTCTAGACCTACTGGCACCAAAGAGTCTTGGGGAACATGGACCGCTCAAAGGCAAGCGTGAATCATGCCCATTAGCCAAGCTGACTCATGACGAGGCCACGGGAAGAGGAGCAGCTAGCTCACACTCATAAATTCATCTGTTGTGGTTGTGGACAAACTCATGGATACCTGAATACACTTGTGGAAAGTTAACTGAGTCTCTCTTGCTGGGAGGAGCAGGGACACCGGAACTGAGCGGGTTCCTGTTTCAGGTGTTCAACATCAAATACACCACTAGATGCTTCCTTAATAATCCCAGTATCTTTATTTCCTAAAAAAGGAATCTTCTGATGTCATAGATGTTTCTAACTGGAAGGGGCAGAGGAGACATTCACTATTCATTAGGTGCTAGAACCTTTATGCTGGCTTTGAACCAGTCTGATACAGTGATAATTTTGTTACATCACAAGAAAGCTGGGGCAAGAACCTCCAATGATGACTCATAGGTAGGTGGTGAGGAATATGGCCTCTGAGAAAGAAAGTAAGGCTGAGGAAACAGAGGTAGTACTAAGGGACAGTACAGACAGAGGAAGGGGAAGAGTATTTCTACATACATGTGTGTATCTTCAAAAGCTTTATAGATAGTGTGTCTAAAACAAAGTCTTAGGAGCAGAGTGCGGAAACTATTCCTTTAATATCTCATAGTTGACTTTAAATCTTTAGAAAGCAGGGGCTTTTTTTTTTTCTTAAGTCTAAAATTATGCCCAAATTAAATCCACTTCACATTTCTAAGCAAGTTATTTCTGGTGGTGGGGAGATGGGAAGTAGGGGCTCGGGAGTCAGGGGAAAGCAGAGAAAGGGGATAGGATGCCATGGCAGAAGAAAACGCGCCTCGGTGTCATCCCTACCGGCTGGCTCAGTCAACAGCCATATCGCATTTAAGTTTTTATTTCTTTTTATTCCCTTGTGGTTCGGGGAGGAATAAATGAGGAGGAAGAAGTAGGGGGAAAGCCTTACAGTGTTAGCATTTATCTTTCAACAAACAGGAAATGAAAACGATACCATATTAGGATCTGCATTATGCTACTCACCCTCTGTTCCTTGGTGCATTATTGAACTGCCAAACTAAGTCTCTAAACACATAACGCCAAAGGAATTTGGGCTTTCAGAGTGTCGCAGACAAAACAATTAAAGTGTGGGGAATAGCATTTTTCTATGGTTATTCATTTTTTTTTACATTAAATGCCCTAAAGTGTTTTTGTTTGTTTTGTGGGATCTTATTGGGGGGGGGGGGAGATACACTAAAACTAAAATACTCTTCTGTAATGTCTTTTGCTTTATTTTATAACTTTGTTTTGAAAACTATAATGGGGCAGAAAGGAATTAAGTCATGCATCCTGCATGTCACTCTTTCTAAACCCATGAGGTAAGCAGACGACTGCCCATGCCGAAGAACACAAATTAAAGGGTGAGAGGTGGTATTTACAGAAGAGTCTGCTGAATATTAATTGTGACTTAATTTGGGGGTAAACATCTCCGATGTAGCAATTACAAGGAATAAGTAGTGTGGTAAGAGGAAAAATCTAAAGCCCAAGCACTGGGCATGAGCCTCTCCACAGCCACCAAGTCAGACCTTCCAACAGACAGGACCAATGACAATCTGCACACAAGCCACATCCACACCCTGAAGTTTACTTACGGCACTAAGAACACATCCCCCAAACTCCTCAAAGCCACCAACGCTGCCAGCACCATTTCCTTCCATACTGTGAGAATACCGAATGTTACAGAAGGGAGAGGACTCTTGGTACTCCCTCTTCACTCAGGGTTCCAACAACAGGGGGTTGAGAAACTGCCCAAGGGTCACCTAGCAAGCCTGCTGGCACATTAAAAGTTAAAATGTGTTGTGATACCAAAAGAGTTATTCTCTAATGCTTTCCCCAGTCGGTGGCATACTAGCAGGAGAATGGGTTTCCTTAGAGGGCACTCCTGAGCAGGGAGGGGTCATGGGAATTACCTAGTCTCTTGAAAGGCATCAGAGTGGACACGGATAGTGGATACACTCTCCTACTGTGCTGTGTTCAAATTATGGCCTCAGAACACATTCTGTAATCCTTCCCAGCATTTCGCTTCTTTCTTCTAAATATGGAATACTCATCTCTGAACTCGGAGGGTTGTTCTGAACATGAGTTCCGCACAGAGCAAGCTCAGTGTAGCTAATGAATGCTTCATGGAGGTTAAAAATACCTGCTGTAATTTTTTTTTTCTAAGGAGAAATTAAATCAGTCTAGTCTACACTGACTGGGTATATCTTTGGAATCAGGATCCACATAATGGGGTGTAATGGAGTCAGCTGTGAGTCTGGGTGGGGAGAGAAGTAAGCCCCATGTCTTAAAGACTAGAATAGGGCAGGAGGCATGGGAAGATGGGGTCTAAGTCTGATAGACTTATCTCGGGGCCTCACTCTATCTTGCCTTTGGTCTGGGCAAATGATTATTCTCTTTTGATTCATAATCACGTCCTCTTCTATAATCCAAGCCTCAAACTGGGTTTTAGATAGACCAAGTTGTGGAAGCTCAGAACTCATACACTGCTCTCTCATTAATGCCCAAGGCTAGGTTCAGTGTCTGCAAAGACAAAACCCAGGGAGATCCACCATATGCCACATGCCGGAGAGAAGGGAGCAGAGTTTGCAGTTCCTTTACCATCCTCCTTCTATCTGTTGTCAGGAGGACTTTTTAAGGGCAACCTGGCAGTTCTTATTAGTGGCACACAGGACTCTACTGAAATGAGTGAGCGTCCCTACATAAAAGCACTGCAGTTATTAGGGACCAATGAGGAGAAGGGGGAGCCACTTATCTGCCTGGACAGATATGAAGATTCCTGTGGCTCTGGGTCCACTTGATTTATGTTCTTTAATTGGGGAAACTGAGGCACAGAGGATGAACACCTGTAAGGCCATGAAGCCAAGAAAGAACAAGAGTAAAACTAGAATTCTGCTTTATAGTGCTAAGTTTGACATTGTCCAGATGATCTGATCAAACTCCCCTGGGACCTTCCCTGGACGGGGAAAAAAAAAATCTTCTGTATACCACTCCTCATCCTGATACTCTGATAAAGGAGTTGGAACTGGCAGTGATAGTGGGCACCTCACCTGAGGAGTGGGTGGGATTGAGATGTTCCCAAGGAGACCACTGCTAAACTCAGACATTTTGCTTAAACCTGCTAATCCACCCCTCAAGATAGCAAACAGGAAGACTGGGTTTGTGTAAGGGCCACGACAGCCCAAGTGAATGCACAGAAATACGGGCGACCCCCATTCCTGCACGAACTCTCACCTTCAAAGCAAGCCTTTATGTAGTGGTGACCTAACAGCTGAACCTGACTGTGGCAGTACCACCATGATGCTGCTCCCTGAGCTGCACGTGACCAAATCAAAATGGATCAAAGGGTCACAAGTAAAATCTACATACACTAAACAGGAGTCTCTGGAAGAAAGGAGTGAAACTCGTCCACCAACCTGGTCAGTGACCAAATACTAACTCTGTGTCCAGTCCACAGTCATTCTAATGCTTTCTGAATTCAGCACCAGGACAAACTTAGATTTCTTAACCATCAACTACCATGTTCAGAGAGTGGGTGACCGGCGCCTCATTTCACCCCAACTCAAGAATTTCCCTACTTTCATTGTGTTCTGTCGCCATCTTAACATTCTTCACATGTTGTTACTAAAGACTCTCTTGACATTTAAAGCAGACACATACTAATACTCAAGTCATAGTCTTGGAATCCTAATGCTTGCAGACTTAGGCAGGATTTTAAATTATGAAAAATAAGTGTCTCGGTTTTTTCAAAGAAGGATGTGCAAGTGAGAAACCCAGACGCTCCCTCTTCCCTTTGCTGGCTCCAGCCTCAAAGCCACGGCCACAGGAGGTCATCAGTAATGTTAGGCCTTTGCTGTCCATGACACTCTCTGAGGTTCTATGGGGTCACTGCTACGTCCCGAGTATGGCCACAAATGGGGTTAGAAAGGGCCAAAGGGGGACACATTACAGATAATATATTTGCTAAAGTCTAGGAAGCTGGTGTGATTACAAATAGCCCTGCTAATGGTGGGTAATCACATGCAAAGCCCATACTATAATTAATTTGTGTTAGGATTAATGTCTCCCCCTGCTACTGAAGCCTGTACAGTCTTCTCTCTGCTGACATTTCCATACAGCTTAGAGTTCCCAGTGTGGACAAGTCACCAGACTTCCCACTAGTTCCAGAGTCACTGGGCAGGGTCCCTTGGGAGGCAGCTCTCAAAGACAGGCAAGGAACATAAATAGACCATCATGGGCCAAACGTTAAATCTAGTAACTGGCTCCTAGGTGGGCAAGCTCAAACCTCTTTGGGGAAAGGAAGGGACCTGGAGCAATACCGCAGGCAGCATCATCAATAAAATGGTAAACAGGTTGGGGTTAGGAACTGGGACTTTTCTACCATTCGCCCCTTGCCTGAAATAGATGAATGCAATGTTCTAAGCTGTGGGCAGCAACCCCTTTGTAGATCAGATATTTACACTGCAATTCAAAACAGTAACAAAACTATAGCTATGAGGTGGCAACAAAAAATAATTTTATAGTTAGGGGATCACCAACATGTGATAAAGTGCATTCAATGGGTGCAGCACGAGGAAGGTTAAAAACCACTGCACTAAGCAATCTCAGTATCTTTGACTCTCAGATGCCAGTGATGGCGAAGATCCCCACACACAGAATGCTACCCTTGGAAAACCATGGAGAAAC